GTAATGTACCCTTGTCAGGCGATAGATTAAACTTCGATCTATCAGAAGAGACGCGTGTGAGCCTCGACACCTCCCAAAGTTTTGATCAAGACCTCCGCGACGACCCTGAAAATACATAGATACAGGCCATGATGGGCACATAACTCAATGAACGAGTTGCAAAAAGTGGCCTGGTTGGGGGATCACTTGCCACACTAGTTAGAGACGGAGGCCGAAATTTGTTGGGTAATGTCGAAACATTGAAAAGTTGCCCACACTATATTTTAGTGTAATTGCTTAATAGGGAGGAAGAGGTAAAGCTATGAAACATTTTCTTTCCAGAGTTGTAACCAAATGAAAATTTATGAAACTACCCTAATAGTTTGTACTTCGTTGTTATTTAATTTAGTTGATATTACTTTATCATTTATTTGTATTTATTGTATATTTATTTATTATTGAGCATAACATAGGATTGAAATGCCCTGTCAAAAGTGAACGAGGTTGACTATTTATATCATTAAAAGACTGGAAATGAAAGTGGAAAGGAGGAACGCAAATGTGACGAGGAAAAATGAAATGCTGCCAGGGATCATGGAATTGAATTCAGAAAGCTGATGTGGCGGATATATTAAATAAGGGGATTAGGGTAGGTAGAAGTGTATATATTTCTTTATATATTATTAATTCATCATCATCATATATTAAACCCTTATCAATCTAATTTTAAGGTATTATGGACATATGGTCAATCGGATGTGTCTATTTACTATGTTAGTTATTTTTTTTAAATACAAATCATTGTTTACAATTTCAATCTTATATTGTAGACATTGGTTACGTTTTTTTTTTAACTTCGAGCATACCATTAAACGTTCAGACTAATACAAACACATAAAAACCTGTATGTGTGCATATAAAATATTATATATATATAATATATCTAGGTGAGTATATATATATAATCTATAGTAGATAGATATATAGATATATATATTCACTTGTATTTACACATTATATGCCTACAGACATACACACAACATATTATATGTGTGTGTGTGGGTGTGTGTGTTGTGTGTGGTGTGGTGTGTGTCTGGGGGTGTGTGTATGGTGTGTTGTCTATATTTACTATATCATTATATATATATATATATATCTATATATATATATCTATATGATATATAATATTATCATTGTTTCTCAGTTGTGAATGTACTAATCAGTCCGCTTCACGAACCTTGCTCGTCATAAACTGTTTATAAGGTACACCGGCTCCAAGGTTGATAATATATAAAATATATGTTGTGCGTGTATCTGGGCTTGTGTGCATATATGATAAATTTTGGTATATAAAGAGATAAAAATATTGTATTATTCACAAGTACATACATGCATACATATATACTCGTGTGTGTGTGTATGCACACAACAAATCAGCATACATATTGTGTATATTTATAACATGGGAGACGGTAACCTGATGAAACAGTTATGACGAAGCAAGGGCGTTGAGCGGACTGATTTATTACATTTCACAAACTGAGAAAACAATTTCCGGTCTCATAACCTTCCATGTGACAGTCTATTGAGTTCCGTAAAAAATATACGGTTCTCATTTTTTTTTCGTTGATCTTTTATTTATTCAACTCCTCTATTCTAACTCTTGAAAAAAAAAAAGTATTGGAAGATGGAATCACTGGGTGGTTACGTATTCGGTACTCCTATTTCCATGTCTTTCCTTGGATATTATATGATAATTTGTATTCGGAAACTCGGCAAAGGAAGCTGATTTATATTGCAGTCCTATTAGGATTTAACTAAACATGGTTGACTCGCTAATTTTTTTTTTCAAACTTATATCGGATAGATATCATTTATGTTGACCTATAGATATAAAAAAGAAAAAATGAATAGTAATAAAACACCATTTTAACTTCAATGATCGAGTTCAGCCATGCCAGTCTTTCCTATCTGAAGAAATCTGTATTATCTTCTCTTTCTACCCTCTTTTCCAGTTTTTTCTTCTCATAATACTCCCCTCCCGTTTCACTATTTCCTATCTTTCCTATCGCTTTTACTTATCATGAACATTTTCCAACCTCCGTTCGGGAGACAGACAGGCCAAAAGACGCACTGATGTAGCATAATACGCGGCCCTTCTACTTTTTTTTCCCGGCTCCCTTCCAATGCACCTCTCTTCCAATTTTGATAAGAACTGGCTAAAGAATATCAAATTCTGGACTAAAGCTTCGATTTCTACAGGATCTTAACAGGGTAGGTATCAAGATCTGATCTTGATATTTTTGGTATCTTTTATGATAGTACTATTGTGTTCGTTTCAGTAGTTGTGCTATTGTTGTGAATCAATGGCACTGTATTCATTTATATTATTGACAGACCATCATCAATTATCATATCCTTAATGTCATAACCATTATCGATAATCTTCATCACCCATTGTTTTTACTGAGATTTCATTATTGCCGCTACTTCCTCGAGTATCATAATCATTACATTTCAATAGCACGTTTATAACCCATCTACATATATCTAAATACCCAATACCCAATATACAAAAAAAAGGACGCCACACAACACAAAAGTCCAGAGCCAGCCGAGGAAGAGAGAATCGACGGCGTCACACGAAGGCGCATCACAAGGCTCTCGCGTCTAAGCCACTCCTCCTGGCATACACGCCCGCTTCCAAGACGGAATCATAATATCGATCGAGCCGAGACAGAAGCCTTGGAAGAGTACCTATCATAGGCACGCGGCAGGTGTCAGCCTCATATCTCACGCACGAAAAGATCTTCCCTCCTTGCACAAGAGACGAAAGTGAATGAAAGGACGACCGACGCATTCCGGTCGTCGGCGGGACACCTCGCTCGCCTCACTTCCGTGCCTCGGATTAATATTTCCGATTGGATGAACTCTTCCTTTGTTAGTAAGAGGAGAGGAGGGAGGGAGGGAGGGAGGGTAAAGTGGGCAGGGATAGGGAGGAGGTAAAGTGGCAGACAGGGAGGCACCCGGGTACACGTGGGCAGGGAGGGGCGAGAAGGATGGAGAGGGTGAGGAGGGTAAGAAGAGAGAAGGGGAGAAGGGGGTAGGGAGGGAAATTGACGAAAGAGTCAGGAAGGTAAGGAGAAGGAAAGAGGCGGAGGAAGAGGGGGGTAGGGAGAAAGAAGGATGGACGAGGAGGACAGAGGGTAAGGGGGTTGAAGAAGAAAAGAAAGAAGAGAGGGACAAAGGACGAAAGAGGGTAAGGGTGAAAGAGAAAAGAGTTGAGCGGGAGAAGGACAGAGGAGGATAGGGAGGGAGAAAGAGGAGGAGGGTAAAATTGTAGAGCGAGGAAAAGAGGGAGAAATATAAGGTGAAGAGGGGAGAAGAAGAGAAGAGGGTAAGGAAGCTAGAAAGGGTGGTGGATGGTAAAAAAATGTAGGATGGAAGGAGGAGGAGGAAGTAAAAAGTGGGGAGGGATACTGAAGGAAGACGATAAGGACGGAGGTGGGAGAAAGAAGGAGGCAAAGAGAATACGAAGGATAGGGAAAGGAAAAGGATCAGGAGAGTAGAGAGGAAGGAAGAGAGTAGGTGGACGAAGAGAGGAAGAGGTAAAGAGGGTAAGGAGATTAGGGTGGAGAAGGGGGGGGGGGCCAAGGGTTAAGGAGGGTAGCAAGGGTAAAGAGGGAGGAGGAGGAGAGGAAAGTGGTAAAGGAGGGTAAGTAGGGTAAAGAGGGAGGATGGCGAACGTGGATAAAGAGGCGGGGAAAGTAAGAAGAGCGAGGAGGGTAAGGGGAGTAGCGAAGGAGAAGGGAGGAGACGGAAGAGAGAAGAAGGATGAAAGAGAAAGAAGGATGAAAAAGAAAAGACGAAAGGGAATGAAAAGAGAGGAGCTGAATTAAAATAAATGAAAGAGAGGGAAAGCAGGAGAAAGAGAGAGATAAGGAGAGAGAGAGACACAAACCAGCTATAAAGAAGGGTTGTATGTTTCGCAGTTGTCAACATTAACTAGCTATGGTATGAGCAAAGGAAAAGGAGCCAGTAAACCATAGCGACTTTAGGCTGAAAATACGCAACGTTAGGGTTCTTATGACAAAATAACGGCTTCTATTTGGATCGGCGTAGTATTCACAGGACGCGCCCAAAAAAAGTCGAAAATGTCCTTTCTTCCTTTTTTCATTCGTAATTCCTTCACTCTGCATAAATGAATAGCTTAAATGAATAAAAATGTGACGTTAGGCGGGACGCAAATATGATGCCATGAAATTTAAATTTCGCATGAATAACTAACGGCTGGCAAATATTTATACAAATGTATCTAATTTTCACGTTTCCAGAATTAATATTTTCTTCAAACTTTAAGCAAATTTTCCTGCGCCATAAAGAGGAAGGAAAGAAATCAAACTCATTTACAAACTATACGAAAGTTCTCTACGCATTCATTACAAAGTTTACCTTTATAGTAACACAGGCAGTTTTCTCTTTCATACTTGTGGTTATTTTTAAATATTATGGCGTCAGTCGTATGAGCATTATCTGCTCCCAAAGCTTGAGCCTTGTCAGTGCGCCATATGGCTTTCATTGTGTTCAATATCTCTTAATCGTGTTTAACACCGGAATATTAATCCCATTTGTAACACTTTGTGAGACAAGTAAAAGCAGAAAAGGAAAAGATAAACATTGAAATACGTATCTGCAAATCGTAGAATTTTCTTGTAACTTTTTAGGTCTCTAATTCTTCTTGATAATGTATTTCTAAGCATTCTCTTAAATATACCCAATAGTATCATCCCTCGAAAAGAAAAAACGAAACAAACAAAAAATGAGCTGGCTGAGAATAGGGCACAGTGATAATCAAACATAGTTTTGAACACAACCTGACGAACGTCAAGTGTCGTCTTTTATTTAAACTTCGGCGGTAATTTGGTTATCTGTTTTTATGCATTTTGAATTTGCGATAATCGTGCCTGAAAGCTTCTGATGTGTCAGCTACAAATGATTGAACTAGTCAGTTTCTATAAAAAAATAAATAAATAAATAGGAAGTCTACCGTATTATTGTCTCGTGATCACATGATAGATTCTTTTGTATTATATTTCATTTCCGGATTACTATTTATATCTTTTTACCCTCTTAATTACAGAAGGAGAAGACGAAGAGTGGATTCCAATCAGTAAATATAATCAACGGAACAATAGCAGTATCGTATACGAATTATGTCATATTAGCATAAGACATTTAATTTGCTTGGCTACCCTTCATAAAGGTTACTTTAAATGGACACCACACATTTCATAACAATACACATACATACATACTTCATAGCAATGGGACAAACACACTCTTATAAATGACACGTTAAACATATATACATATATCAATGGGGACACATATACCCAAATATCAGCAATAGACAGCCATACACCACACTTTCACATTATTAGCTTCATACCTCGTCTTGTTTCTTACCCGGCAACCATTTCACCCTACATAAGTTTTTTTGTCTTCGTTATAGTTTTTCGTGTTTCTACAATAATCACTGGACATAACTATTTCTCTGGAGTATTATATTAAGTTTTAAAAATTCAGGAACAAGAGGCAAACAATTAAAACATCTAAGGAAAATGGGGCCAGTAAAAGAATGTAAACACATTAATGGATTCTTTAATGGATTCCCTAAAAGGTAATGTGTTTATGGATTTTTGTTTTTTTTTTTGTACGGCGTGCTTTTAAAATTCATATATATAGTTAATATATATAACAATATAAATAAATAGAGAGTCGACGAGATATAAATATAAAGGGAGTACGAGAGAGACACTATATATGTAATTATAGATACTACATATAGACTATATTGAGACAATATATATAGACGCATATAGTAGAATAGGTAGACTAGCGATAGATATTATAGATATAGAATAGATATACACTCATATATACTATATATGTGGATACAGTAGAGAGAGACATTAGGTATACATAGACTAGATAGACAATATAGACATAGACATGAATACATATAAATATGAAGATACAAATACAGATAGACAGATAATACATAAAGTATAAGCATATTACGCTTATATATATATATATATATATATATATATATATATATATATATATTATATATATATTTTACATAATGTCGTCAAATGTAACAAGGAACACTATGTTATTGTTAAAATAAGAAGCTAAACAACTTTGTTTTTCTTTGTCAGGTCCGTTAACGCTTATTATCATCAGCACCTCCCGCCCATAACTATCACTTCCCACACGTTTTCATCTTCTCCAGACCAAAATCATCACTCCACAGCTGTTAACTCATTGTTAGCACATGGTAGAAAGCTTCATATAATAGGATCTAAGTTTCGAGGGTAATATTTTTACTCTTTTTTAGAATTTAGTGGTTCCTCTCTTCATGAATCATTTGGCTCAGATATATAGAGAGGGAATGAAAACCGAGACACAATTTTACATTATAAAACAAACAAAACAGACTCTCGCTTGCTGCATCGTATTCTTATCACTTTTTCACCTTTTTCCCCTCCTAATCCAGCATCGTCATTCTTTCGAGCTCTACCCCAAAGCTCTCATTCATCCTTTCCTACAACGGTATGTACTCATATACAAATTCCCTCCCAACCTCTTCCCCGCCCTCATTTCCATTCTCTCAACCTCTCATTGTCATCCCTAACACGTGCTTCCAGCGCCCCCCGGCTTTATCAGCTCACGCCATGCCCGGCTCTATACCAAATACAAACAAAACACCAGACTTCAGCCTAGGTTATGAGGGGATGTAGCCTTAGCAGGGCGCGGGCTAAACAGATATGCTTTGTAGCAGGTTATTAGGGATTGGATCCGGCTGTTTACAAGGGCAAGCGGCGAGGGGGGAAACAAACCGGAATTTCGAGTGTTAAGTTTTCTAATATTTGGGATGTTTATCGTGTTGTTTGTTTGTTTGATGTGTGTGTATGTGTTTGTGGTATTTGCGTGTGCTTGTGTTCTTCGTGTGTTTTCTATGGTTTGTTCTTGTGTACATTTGTGTGTATTTCGGTGTGTATAATTATACATCTGGGTGTATGTGCGTGTCAAAGCAGTAAACGCTAATCTCTCTAAATCTCCATAAAGGAATGATTCAAATGAAAATTAACCGGGCTTTCCATTACGAAGAAAATTAGTACGTGGTTGTGGAGTACTTTCATCGCCAAACTGAAATTAATTATGCCCAATAATAATCAATAAAATTTTGATAAGCATAATCACGAAAATAATCTGTCATCACCATCATGTCGTTCTTATTACTACATCTAATACCATGTCTCAATTGCTTAACATAATCATTATGTCATAACTGTGAGTTGGAGCGATTATTATAATTAAAATCTTGCGTAATAAATTAAAAAAGCCCCCACACCATCTGTATCACTTCGCGTCCGCTAATTGAAGGAACTCGGACCTTAAACTTTAATCAGAATTTCCTAACACTTGAAATGGGAAACTGACCTCGGAAATGAGCGAAAAGAAGTGGGACGACGAAAGAAGCTGAGGCTAAGTTACACACACACACACACACACACAAACGCACGGACGCACGCATGTACATACACGCACACGAAGATGCACACACACATATACATACATAAATCTATACACACACATACATACAAATACACACACACACACACACATATATATCATAATAGATATCATAGACATATTATATATATTCAAATATATTCTATATACATTTAAACATATAATACATATAATACATATCATACAACACATATACATATATATACATTATATGGACATGTATGTATATATGTATTATATGTTTAAATGTAGTAGAATATATTTGAATATATATAATATATATATGATATATATATGATATATATGTGTGTGTGTGTGTTGTATTTGTATGTATGTGTGTGTATAGATTTATGTATGTATATGTGTGTGTGCATCTTCGTGTGCGTGTATGTACATGCGTGCGTCCCGTGCGGTTTGGTGTGTGTGTGTGTGTGTGTAACTTAGCCTCAGCTTCTTTCGTTCGTTCCCACTCTTTTCGTCATTCCGAGGTCAGTTTCCCATTCAAGTGGGATAGGAAATTCTGATCTAAGTTTAAGTCGAGTTCCTTCATTATGCGGACCGAGTGATTACAGATGGTGTGCTATATTACGCAGAGTTTAATTATAATAAATCGATCAACTCACAGGTTATGACAATAATGATTATGTAAAGCAAGTGAGAACATGGATATTAGATGTAGGAATAGAAACGGACATGATGGTGTGACAGATTATATTCGTGAGATAGTTATCAAATTTTATTAGATTATATGGACAGGAAATATTTACAGATATTAGGCGATGAAAAGTACTCACAAACCACGTATACATTTTTTCGTAATGAAACGGATAATTTCACTTAATCATTCCCTTAGGAGATTAGAGAGATTAGACTGTTAATCTTTGAACAAGACACTACACGCTAGTGTATAATTATACACACGCGAATACACACAAAGTACACAAGAAAACAAACATAGAAAACACACACACACAAGCACACGCAAATACACAAACACTACCCACCCACATACAAACAAACAAAACAACACCGATAAACATCAAAATATTAGAAAACGTAAGACACTTCGAAATTCGTTTGTTTGTTTTCCCCCCTCCGCACTGCGTTGCCCTTGTAGCAGGCGGATCCAAATCCATATATAAACCTGCACAAAGGATATCTGTTAGCCCGCCGCCCTGCTAAGGTACATCCCTCATAACTGAGGGCTGGTAGGGTGTTTTGTGTATTTGTATAACCGGGTTATGGGCGTGAGCTGGATAAAGCCAGGGGGGCGCTGGCAAGAAAGTGTGAGGGAGAACAATGAGAGGTTGAGAGAAATGGAAAATTGAAGGGCGGGGAAAGAAGGTGGGAGGGAATTTGTATTATGAGTACATATCCGTGTTTAGAAGGATAGAAATGAGAGCTTTGGGGGAGAGCTAGAAAGAATGACGAGGCGGATTAGGAGGGGGAAAAAAGCGTGAAAAAAGTGATTAAGAATACGAATGCAGCAAAGCGAGAGTTGTTTTTGTTTTGTTTTATAAGTGTAAAATATTTCTCGCGTTTCTTCTCTCATCTATCTGAAGCCAAATGACATTCATGAAAGAGGAAACCAATACAATTCTAAAAAAAGATGTAAAAAAAATATTACCCTCGAAAACTTTAGATCCTATTATGAAGGCTTTCCTACATGTGCTAACAAGTAGTTAACAGGCTGTGGGAGTGATGATTTGGTCCTGGAAGAAGATGAAAACGTTGTGGGAAGTGATAGTTATGGGCGGGAGGTGATGGATGGATAAAAGAAGGTTAACGGGAACTGACAAAAAGAAAAAACAAAAGGTGTTTAGCTTCTTATTTTAAAATAACATAGGTTTCCCTTTGTTACATTGAAATTATGTAAAAATATATATATATATATATATATATATATATATATATATATATATATATATATAAACGTATATATGCTTATACTTATGTATATATATGTATATATATATT